ACCCATAAAACAGCAAACGGCCACATAATGCAAAACTATTTAAAATTAAAACAGAACAGTAGAGAAAATCCGATCAGAATGACAAAATAAACTAAGCATCCACTGGAAGGAATCCCAATATCTGCAGAGGGATCCGTTTCGGCCTTCCAGTCCTCATCGGTGCAGCTAGGGTATAGACCCAAACGAAACGTTCGACCAGCTTAGGTAGGGCCCAAACTAGTCCCACGACCACTAATGATTACAGAGCCAAACCAAGGCAATATATACACAGCCCAGGTGTGAATGCAGATTCATTAACAATGGCGAAAGGCTATACCAAAGCATTTTCGTGGGCATAATGCCTAGACAGGATTGTTCATTCATAATGAAATTAGTGTTTTGACGGTGAATTTTTTCATCCAATGGGAATATATTTTATACGAGAAGAATCTATGAATATTCAGCTCTCATTTTACAGCCGAAATGGCAATTTAAAGCCAACGAAATCGTTAAAAAGAGGAAAAAATACAGCCTTTACGCGGTGGGCGGTCAGCATAGCACCAATCAAAAAGTGAAAAATGACGGTGGCTTTTTTCAAGCAATACAATTGAAACAAATACTAAAGCAATCAGAAAAGAATTGCCTTTCAAATACCGAAGGGAACACAAAAATCCGACAAGTATTTGCAGAGATACGACTGTGGAAAGACGAAAAATGACCCAAAAACAGCTTGTCGGTGCGAAATACAGCGTGAAACACTAATTTGCTAGGCTATTCTCGCTCTTAAACGAAAATGTTGCAAGAAGAATCCCTATATCTGAGTATGATACGGTTACCTCTTTAAAAACATAAACCAGTAATAAAGAAACACTATAATCACGTTCCAAACAGCGTTATAGCCTTATATAATGTTTGCAATTCCGCTGTATTGTTTCTCCTCTATATAGCATTGATTGATGCGATATTAAATTGCGTTACAACAATTAATTTTTTGTAGCCATAAAAGCAATGCATTGTAGGGAGAATATGATATTATAGGCTTAATCAATACATTATTTGAATCCCTTCGGGAATTGAACCTAAGACTTTCCGTTCGGTTACTATATATTATTATATATATGCATGGTAAAACACAACTGGAATGTTTTCATTAGGTAACGTAACCACAATGAAAAACAATAAATCACATAAAGACTTTGGTGAGGAGAAACGATTCCATGATTTAACGATTCCGAGATTTATGGGTTATTCTTCTACCTACCTTTACCTTTATCCGTAGTCGTTGTTTCGTCATGTACGTGTACGTACGTATTCACTGTTGTGTCTGTTGTCATATACATTGCTTTGTCAGTTGCTGTGTCCATTTTATCGGTCGTTAAATGTGTGTCCGTCGTAGTCTCAATTGGTGTTGCTGTATTCGTTGTTGTATCCGATGTTATGTCCGTTATTGCGTCTGATGTTGTCACTTTTGCATCTAATGTTATGTGCGTTGTTGTATCTGATGTGTTAGTTTGATAGGTTGTTGTGTTCACTGTTATGTCCTTTGTTGTATCCACTGTTTCATCTGTTATAGCGTCTGTTGTTGAATCTAAAAAAGAAGGGAACACATATGTAATACTAATATGGCCGGCAAAAGTAAATACTAAATATTAAATAATTCAAAAATAGTAAATTAGCTTAGCGTCATTTAATTTTCAGCGCAAGCTCTCTGTATTCGAGCGGGCGATATTGTTAAATTTTTGTCTGCTACACTGCAATATTGCCATTCGCTACGCTATTACTATCAATTCTTTCTATTGAATCTCTCTTTCAGAAATGCCCTTAAAACTTGATGAAAATAATTCGATTTAAACTGCATTGTTGTAAGCGCAACCATTTCACTTTTGAATAAACATCATATTTAGCAGACATAGCCTTCGCAAAAGCGAGAAGAAAAAAGTGAAAATCTCCTAGCGTCTCTAAGTAAGGAATGAGGTAAAAATACTACAATACACGACAACTTGTTATCCATATGTTTGCTGTAGCTCAACTTTATGATTCGGAACATACGTGCACACATCACTTATACACATCT